AAAATCGCAGCTGCCGCAGGGACTTATGGGCTAGATTTGTGCTCTATTTAGATCAGCAAAATGCACATCCAAGGTGACGTTTTTCATTTCCCCAAAAATGCTCCGCGTTTGCAAACGATACTCTGTGCTCGAGTAAAATTATGCCGACAAATACGGGCAACAACTCCTCCGAGTTCAAACATTTGGAGCTTTTTTAGTGTTAAACGTTTAAACCAGAGGTAGTAGAAACGTGTTCAAAGAAATCTTACCACAGAGAAATTCTCAGTGTGACTGAACACAGAGGCAAACACTTGAAAAAAGCTTCAGCCCACCTAAAAATCGGTGACAGGGAATTTTTCCAGCTACGGCTTTCTCTTCTCATTTTTTAAAAGCGTAATGTCGCCACCGCCCGTTTCAACCTGTCGGACCAGGTCCACGTTTGCAGATATTCTCTTTTGCAGTTCGATCGTTTCCCCTAACCCAGGCGAAATGGCTAATGCAGGTTATGTCCTCGTCTGGTGCCTGCTGTGTTAGGAATGGACAATTAGAACAAATGATGGAGAAGGATAAAAACAAAAACAACATTTTTATACAGGCCAAAACCTTAGAAAAAATTCATGCACACCCGAATGAAAACAGAAATCTCAAGAAAAACTTTTCTCTTTTATTTGAAAATTAAAAGTAAAACGCATCCATTAGCAAGATAAAGGAATCAGTTCAAGAAAGCCAGGGAGAAAGCGATGTGTCCAACTCACCCAACTGCTGGGAAAGAGGGGACTTACAGTGGACTGCAATGTGAAAAGGTGGGAATTGCTTGTCGAACATTTAAAGGAGACCAGTCTCGGCATGGATTAATTTGACCCCCTAAAACACACCATTCTCAAACATTCTCTTTATTCTCAGCCTCGAAGCACAAAATATTGGGGGCGTTCAGTCCTGAACACCTTGAGTGATGCCACAAACTACAAGTTTACTCCGCTGCAAGACGATGACCATCCCCTCCCCCCTCAAAGGTTATTTCGAATCCTTTTCCCTTTGTCTTTAAAACGACCTTCTTCCTTATGCATGCTAAGAAGCTGTTTTATTAAAAGGCGGGGAATAAAATGGAAAAATTTCAATAATTCAAGTATTTATTAGTTAAAGCAGAAATACGTATTATCAAGTGAGAATAACGGAACAGAGAGGGTAAGGACCTGCAGTCAGTTCAGCCGGCCCGGCTTTGGAAAAATTTGAGAGTCATTGGACCAAAGTTATTTTACGCCAGTTAAAGGCTGTTCGTAGAATACATTAGTTGTCTTCAGAGAAAATGTTAAATTCCCTTACAGCTCTACCAGCGTTCGTTTTGACAGTTTATTTATAATGGAAAAAACAACATCATTGAACAACGAGGGGCGTTTCCCTGACCCCAAACAATACTAAAACAATAGGATGATTGACATGTCATTGTTTCCTGCGACTAATAAGGAGAGACCTTACAAGCAGCTCCTACACAACTGAACAACGAAGGCAAGACTTTAGCCATAGAAAAAATTGTTATGAAAACTGTCCTTAACACTATTACTTTAATTATTTAGTTCTCAGGATGCTGGAAATTACAATTCTGAGAATTTGGTTTTTAATTTTTGTGAACGAAAGCATGTTCCAAGACCCCCTAAATTACAGGAGGCGTTACATCCCCCCTCACTACTGCTTTTGTCAAATAGCCAGGCTAATATTCATTGGATTATATATTAACAAATTATTAATATTGCTGAGGCCTATCATGTAAAATCACTGGTATTTGCACATAAAAAGTGGTCTTTACAATCACGTAACATGCCATCATTAAAAATTTGGGGGAAAAATACAGCAAATGAAGTGAACAAATCATGATTTCAATAACCTTGTCCAAAAAGCAATATATATTAAAAAAAGAAAAGAGAAAACTTAGAGTAAATTGAAGTATGATTGATTCCCGGGCGCAAAATAAATAGTGTTGAATTAACTGAACAAAGATTACAATAATAAGTTTACTCTCAACATTTGGTGTTCATTCGGAGATATCATTCCCTGTATTTTGACATTTTTATTCTTATTAAAGGATGGATATTACAAAAAATCGTTAGCTTTAATTTTGCAATTTTCGAAAGCTAAGTGACGAAAATATTCAAACTAGTTGTGTATTCATGTGCCATTTGTCCACAAAATTCTTATAATTATATTTGTTATCACAGAAAAAGATCGCAAATTTTGTAAATTTCTCGTCTGTGCTCAGTAATCGTGGACCGAAGGGAGTTGGATTGACTGCAGAACTAACTCGTGTAGCTACGGTAAAAGTTGGAAATATTTTGATCTAGTTATAAGACGAGGAGCGAGGAGAGATAACGGCTGTATTCGCAGGTTACTAGAATAAACTTGTTCATGGTAGTAAAACTTGGACTCGAAGGTGCTCAGGACGGAAAGTCAATTTTACACCCATTCATGTATCACCGACCGAGGGCTGTGCGTAAGACGGAGTTATCCATTTTAAACAAACTGTAAGAGAACAGCATTCGATGGCAACTTGTTTATCACAATGAAAATCACAATAGCTCGTAGTTTGTTGTCTTTTTTAGTTTACGCTTCATAAGGGTTAGCCCAAGTCATACCTAGATTTATCTCTAATAGCCTGATTCTAATTTATCCTGACGAGCGCCCTCTCACATTCATAGGAGAGAACTCCTCACCCACCCCACCCCCCTCCGAGCAGTGTGGAGGCATTGTTCATTAACGCGAGTATTTCTAAGAACCAATTAAAGTTTGATGTATGTACCGAAAAATGTGCACATAAAACCTCGATCGGAGTGAGATTGTGAAGTTAAATTCCTGTTATTGCAAAGTAGCTATTTTTCAAATAACCCATTGCACAGGAAACTCTAACTGATCACAACTGCTTACTATAACAAGCAGATTTAATCGTAAATGCTCAAACGTTTCATAAGCCATCATATACTTGTGTCTTCATTCAATACTGTATATTTCAGTTAACATTGTCTATTTCATTTGTATGACCTACTCATAAGTAGGTGACCTATTTAGCTACACACGCATTCAGTGGTATATCCAAATTCACATTTTATAAGCGACATATCCACGAGTATCTTCAGTCAATTCAGTCGGCCATGTTTTTTTTTTCACGTCTATATTGATCTATAACCTCCTTCAGAAGTATGCAACAGAGGAATTAAGGAACGAATCCCCCTTTATGAGTAAGTCACCTATTGCCAGTATAAGAAACTCTACATACAACTGTCAGCTGTTATTGCTAATTACTATTGGACGTATTTAATTGTATGTCCTAAAACTTGTCACAAGCGAAATATCTTCTGGTACCTTCAGTCAAGTTAGTCTATTTTACGTCTACAACCTACTTCATAAGTAAGTAACATTGGAATTAAAGAAAACCCTGTTTTATGAGTAAGTTACCTAAAGCTGGCGTAGGGAACTCAAATATAAATGTCTTCTTTGCGTCTACCGTAACTGCTGGCTACTGGGAGTATTTAATTGTACATTCTATAATTAATAAGCGCCATTTCAACAGCCTGCGCCACAGACTGGCCTAAATCCTCTGGTTAAGTTCGTCTGCAAAACAGCACTGAAACCCTTGTTCAGGGCCCCCACCCGTGTACCAGGATTTGAGCACGCGCTATGATTGGCCAGTAACCTAGTGAAAAAAGCCATTGCTAATTTGTCAATCAGATGGAAGAGAAACGCATTTCCGGTGACTGATTCGTTCAGTCCGTTGAGGGCTCAGAACAAGGCTGTTACTACTAAATTATATACCGGGTTAAAGCTCCTATCTTCAATTTATATTGCGGTCTACTTCGTGTGTGTATTTCCTTCATAGGAAAGTAATATCGGAATAAATGTAATTGTTATATTCCTAGACTTTCACTCGACTAAACAGGGACTGCCATTGGTTGATTCTTGGTCACGTGGCCTTGACTAAAATCAAATGTATCCCGATCGTGATACATTAAGCAATGTACCCCGCTCGGGCTACATTACAGCACGTGATCAAAGCATGGTAACTAAACAGGGACTGCCATTGGTTGATTCTTGGTCACGTGGCCTTGACTAAAATCAAATGTATCCCGATCGTGATACATTAAGCAATGTACCCCGCTCGGGCTACATTACAGCACGTGATCAAAGCATGGTAGAAAGTAGCGTGACAAAAGGCGGGAAAAACACTGCCAGGTCCTGCCAGTTTTCTTTTTCGTGAATGAACACAACAACACAAACACGAAGCCTCAAGCTAAAAAGCAACGATTTTTAAATTTATCCAAGAAGTTCCCAGAAGAAAAACGGCACCTAGTGGAGGAAAATGATGCAGATAATATAAGCAAGGTACTTTGTAAATCATTCATTCAGTGGTTTTGAGAATTAAATTTGTGTTGCTATAAGTACCGAGTCGACTGTTTGGGTTCGCTCCGGTTATTCTCTTGTTGCTGTTGAAGTGAAAGTGTAGAAATATGACAAAACACTTAATGTCAGGTCCCTCGAGAAACCAGTTAGTTTTGTTTTCCCTCGGGATCTGACATTAAGTGTATAATATATATTTTCTAAGTAACGTATTGCATATGTAAAAATAAAGCTAGTATTTTTCATTTTGTTACTCTAACAACCATACAGACACTTAATTCATATCAGAGAATCCAGCCATACTAAATCGTGAGGCAGAAATTGCTGCTATTTTTACCAGTAAATGTCCAGTCAGGGCTTTCTCTGCCAGTGACCGGTAGTCCCTGGCGCCTAAATCTTGCCCTTAGGCATAAAGGAAGTTTTTTTTTTAAAATAAATCAAATCCTGGGCGCCCTGGATTCACAATCTTCCCAGGTTTAGAGCAACGGGCCTTCTTCAGTTTACATAGCACAGACATTCAGATAGTGGGAAAGACGCAAAGAAAAGCGCGCGCCACTCTCCACGATCTGAACGACTGGAACATGCTAAGGGCACTTGCCAGGAATTATCAGTGCTATGGTGTAGCGTTGGTTCTACAATTAAGATGATACATTGGCATCTTTCAGTTCACCGATTATTCCCTGCATGGTTGGTCTCGTCCCAGGATCTCTCTGCAGGCATCGCCGTACCAGGTCGCGACACACAGCGTTCGTTACAAGGACGACTTGTTCTTCCCGCCTTGTAGGGTCTGGCAGTTCCCGGATGCACATTTCACAGAGAAGAGCACCAAAGCTGTAGACATCAACCTAAAAACAATCATGATACATGACTTTATGCCAGAATATTCTTTATTTACATTACTTATTAGTGGTATACTGATTACAAAAAGAGTTAAAGTAACACCAGAGGGAGAATCTCGAGAATTCAGACGAAATAGACGATTATCGATAAATGGATAAGAAAAGCCAAGAAAACAGAAGATCCTTAAAAGGCATCAAGGTAAGTTCTTGGCTTAAATGTTTTGTTTGTAAAAATACTAACTTTTGACATCCTGTAACTGTTGTCTTTAGAGAAGAGAGGGGAAAATTAACGAATTCAGTTACGTCGATCAAATGCATGAAGAACATAAAAGAGTGAAAAAAGTGCAAACTAACAAGGTACAAAGACTTCTAACAAAGATATGGTCATTTCAGAACAAGAATATTGTATTGTTCGTTAAGTCCCGACAAGAAAGCGAGTTTGGGCGAAAGGACAAGGGTCACTTTTACTTCTGCCACTGTTAGCATTGCTATACAGTTTTAGTAAGTCAAAAGTCTTTAATGTTTACTTAAACTTACCTTGACTGTTTGGTTTGATGTAAGTGCTTCAGGTGCGCTGTAAATCATAGCACCAGGTGCCACTGTCATGGTCTGCTGTATAAAATTAGCAGTGCCATTATCTGACACTTTGGCCCTCCATTGGTCACCCTGTCGCCATAGCAACACATTGGCACTGCTCACATCCCGGTGAATGATGGGTTCTGGTTTCTTCTGGTGAAGATAGTTCAGTGCGCGGGCTACGTCCAAAGAAATGGTGCGTATTTCTGTTTCGGACAGTTGCCGCTGTTCTAAAAGAGTCCGCAAACTTTTCTCCATCAACTCGGTGACAAACAGAGGACTTCCCTCGTCAACTGTGGCGCCGATAAACTGTAGTAAGTGAGGATGGCGACACTTGGATGCAATATTCATTTCTCTCTCAAAAAGACGTATGTTATGAGGGGAGAGAATCAACTCGTGGATTTTTTTCACTGCTACAGTACAGCCACAATACGTTCCCTCATTGACACTTCCCCGTCCTCCCCTCCCAAGGCATTTTTCTGTGATTTGAATTTCGTCTCGGGGAGTAACCCAGTCACGTGTTCCCTGGTTACGCAATTGATTTATTGTTTGCTGAGCTGTTGAAAGACTTAACTGTAGTTCAGAAACTTGTCCTCGGCAATTCGTCAACTGTTGTCCTATCTCCCTCAGTTGCCGCTGAGAATTTTCTTCACGTTGTTGAAACTCCGTCAGCTGCCTTTGAGAATTTTCTTCTCGTTCCTGAAGCTCTCTCAACAGGCGCTGCATATTTTGTTCACGTTGACGAAACTCCGTTAGCTGGCTTTGAGAGTACTGATCCCGTTCTTGAACCAGTCTGAGCTGCCTTTGTAAATTCTGTTCGCGTTCCTGCATCTCCCGTAACTGTTTCTGTAGGGGTTCGTTACGCATTTTTGCTGAAAAGATAATTTATGATCAAAAACAAAACAAGGCAATCAAAATAAGCCTAGGGAACTGATTAAGTGTCATCTGAGAAAGAAAAATTAAAAATTTTGACTTTATAGAAAATTTTAAATGCACGCCATTTCTCTCTCGAAACTGAGCGACACATGAGCATAAACGAGATACTGATGAAGAGGATGAAATTCAGAATTCGATTTCGCCCCAGGGGCGGATCTAGGGGGAGGGTGCAGGGGGTGCGCACCCCCCCCCCCCCCCCCCCCCCCCGCGCCCCCGCGCTTTTTTTTAAAATCTATTTTTTCACAAAAAAAAAAAAAATTTTTTTTTGTTGTGGTGAGGAGAAGAAAGGAAGACGCCCCCCCCCCAGAAAAAAACAATCCCCTCCCCCCCCCCCCCGCGGACCCTCTCCAATATGCTTGTTT